CTCTCTCTCTCTCTCTCTCTCTCTCTCTCTCTCTCTCTCTCTCTCTCTCTCTCTCTCTCTCTCTCTCTCTCTCTCTCTCTCTCTCTCTTTGCCGACCAAGGAGCGGGTGTGGCTATATTAGACACAAAGATCCTACATAGAGAAGAAAGAAATGATGTTGATGAGTGGGCAGTAATTATGAGGGAGGAGGGTGGGGGGGCCCAGGGGGGGAGGGAAGTATGACGAGGATGGGGAGCTCAGAGTGCAAGGACGTTAGGTTCAGTTTCCATAATACTAACTGAGAATGGGGTAACTAGTTCTTACCACTGCACCCCAACCCAAAATATGAGCATGCATCTTGCCATGTGAGGGGTTCATCTCTCATTATCATCACTTCGCTCCTTTTTCCGTTGCGCATTTTTGAGAGTGCAGACATTGATGATTTCCCGTGCTCATAATCGTCCAGAGAATCACGGGCATAGATCGAGTGCTGAGCTTTCATGCAAAAATCCTAGCAAAATCCAAAACAAATCTCTGGCTGCGAAAATCAGCCCTGGCGGCAAAACACACTTATAGTTTTGCCCCTGTTGTGTGACCCTGTAGGCCCAAAACTTTCAGGTGCAGTGCAGTGGTGGTTGAGAGCAGTGCAGTGGTGGTTGAAGTCCTTGGAGGAACATGCATGGCACTTGAGAGAAGGCCTTGACAAGATACAAGGAGAGAATATGCCTCAATTTGCAGAAACAAAAAATGGTTAAAAAATCTGATAAGGTCATCTATCTATGTTTAGCATCAGATCTCTTCTTATGGCATAGATCTCCGTTTGTGGGAGTGGAGACATCTCATCCACTTCCATGGGCGCCCACCATCCACCGAAGTGAAAGTGGACAAATCTTCCATCGAGAAAACCGAAAAGAAAGCTTCCACTTTGGTGACCACCAGCCCCAAAGTCAAACTGCAGAAATTTTCCACTAGATCAGGCGGCCTGGCTCAGGCTGAAGAGGAGAGGCACTTCCTCAATCAGTATCTCAGTAGATCTCAGACAATTTAAAAGTTTCCTGTACACGGGACACTGGACCCGTTTTCCAGCAGCTGCTGCTCCCCACCAATAGATGGAGGTGGCTGCTCTTATCAGCACCTCCCCCCCCTCCCCCCCAGGATGACGGAGGTGGCTGCTCTTATCAGCACCTCCAGCACCCACAACGGCAGCCTTGAAAAAAAAAAAAAAAGACTTCAGACGCCCACCAAAGTGGAAGTTTATTGCCAAGCAAGCATTGGCCGCACTCTACCATTGTTTGTGGTTTGTAAATTGTCAAGTTCTAACATTCACCTTTTCTTAAGGTTTGGCATCATGCTATTGCGAGTTTATATTGTTTACTCGACTTTACTGAGCTTTATTCCCGTTCGCTCTTTCTTAGGTTTGGTGGGTGCAGTACTATCGCGAGTTTACATCGTTTGACGTAGTCTTGCATAGTACACAGTTCATTCGCAATCTTCTGAGCAATCATTTGATGGAGTTTGCACTGCGCTGTAGTTGTCGCTTGGAAAACACCAAGCGCTGCACCTGGTTGGTCTCAAGAACGTAGCACAAAACGGGGCCGACGCCAAAGTGACTGAAGAGGGAAAGAAGGAAAGAGGTGAAGGGAAAGAACAGGTTCTGTATAAGGACAAGAGTGAGACATACCAGATTCTGCACAAGCTCCTTCCCAAGGTAGTGGTCAATTCTATAGAGCTGTTCTTCCGTGAAGAGTGCGCCCAAATGTGAACTGAGAGCCTCTGCAGAGTCCAAGTCTTTTCCAAAGGGCTTCTCCACAACCAACCTTGTCCAGCCAGCTGCATATAGACCCACGGTGCGGTCGTTCAATTGTTTGACAGAGGAAGGAGGGGACAAAAAGGAGTGAAATGAAGATGGGAGATAAAAATAGGTGACAGAGTTGGAATATGGAAGAGAGAGAGAGAGAGAGAGAGAGAGAGAGAGAGAGAGAGAGAGAGAGAGAGAGAGAG